TTTCACCTGCTACAGTTAGAGACACTGTAAATTCAACTATTAATAAAACTATTGAAGTTGTCAAGGTATGCATATCTCTTGTGGTTTATTATATCTGTCATAACCTACTATGTATAATGCTAAAATGATACATTAATTATAGGGAACTTATGATAACATTGTAGGCAGCATCAAAAATACTGATGCAGACCAAAAATCTGAAGATGATTCGGGCAAAGTTAAAGTTGATAAATGAAAATTGTAAAAATATTGAATCTATATTATTCCTTTCGAGAATGTATGCTCGCTATAATTTTAACGTAGTATCGATATTGATATATTACCTGATTAACAGGTAGGGATATGTAATATAGATAAATAATAGTAACAATCATAATAAAAATATGTGAATTTACTATAAAACTTTAATCCTTTTCTATTCAATATGAATTTGCTGTATTTTTAAATGTTGCAATGTAATAGTATAAAGATTGGACTGTCGTTTAGTTCTATGGAAATCTAAAATTGTTAGTGCATGACTTATAATCAAATATACCTTTATTTTTAGGCTTCTCGCCAGAGGTGTGATTATGGTGATTCGATCATATAAAGGTAATTACTTTTGAATCCAGACCAAAATGTTATTACGTTATATATGAAATTGATCCGGTTCAAAAATAATATGAATTATCACATTAGTTATGTGCCCTACCTCGCATATAAGTGTTGTGTGTCGTGACTAGAGTTGTTGGTGAAACTAAATTGAGCTGGTGAAACTGGTGACTATTTAAAATCTGATTGGCTATTGTGGTAAATAACCAATCAGATTTTAGATAGTCACCAGTTTCACCAACAATTCTCTTACCCAGATTTCGTCTTTTAAATAAACATTTACAGACTAATAGAAGGGGCTTACTATCCGCGGTTATAATAAGCCTCTTACCGTATTTTCGCGAAATAACGCCCACATGCGCGATATTTTGAGTATATGCGCGTTATTTAGAGTACGCGCAAATACGCGCATGGGCGTTCTTTTGAGACTAAGATAAATTTTTCAAAACCCTAATGTGGGTGCGCGTCATTTCGGGACGTTATTTTGAAACTATGCATGCTATTTTTATGGGACACGATTTTCCGTACCGGTTATTTCGCGAAAATAGGTGTGTTATTGACTTACCTTTGTTGTTCGCATTGACTCATCTTTCAATAATCCTCGACCGACAAACCTCATGCGCCACCAAGCCTCCAAGAGTTTGTTTCTTGAGGCGCGATTTGTTATGTTCTCAGAAATGTCTATTTTAGCTCGTGACATTATCCAACCCATAACATCGAACCTATTAACTTTGACATAAATGTTATACGTACGGATGTGCAAGAACAGACGGAGAATGAAATTATCTTTTTATTAATTATTGTAAATAGATTTTATAGTACATATGTTTATATAAATGTATTATATTAAATAATATGCGTAATATTGTGAGTGCTTTTTTTTTAAGTATATACAGTGGACTCTCTCTAAGTGCAGCTCGCTTGGGAGTTAAAAATTTACTATAGAAAAAAAATCTGCACTTAGAGAGAACCTGCATTTAAAGAGAATAAAATTTTAATATATTACTCTATATATCCCTATAGCATTTAGAGAGAATTTATTAAACCTGCACTTAAAATGCACTTAGAGAGAGCTGACTGTACTTTTTTTTTTATTTTGATAGCATGATCCAAATTGACTCTGACGGTACACCATTATCTACAATGCCTAATAAATATGGACCAGGTGGAGCTATAGAACCATTAGCCGGAGCTGTCAAAGTTAATCTATTATCATCAGATGCTGTAATCTCAAGCAAAACCAATCTTTGACTCATATGTGTAGAATGAGTAACGAAACCGGGATTATGTAATTTTGCGGTAACCTTGTGAGTACCACTATATGCCTTATAATTAATTTCAAAAGATTGACCATATATTAAACTACTAGGAGCTAGTGTAATCTCAGGTTGTGGAACTTTAGTAAATAAATAAGGTGGACTGTACATTTCAACACGAAATTCAGTTGGAAAAGCACCATCACTAGATGGTTTACTATTTGGATTTGACCCAGCTACTAGTACTTGACCTGATGGAATAGATAAAGCGATGGAATGGTACATACGAGGAATGTAAGATGGTTGCATTGTAGTAAATCTTGAACCAGAAGCAGCTTTAGGATTATAGAGGAGAGGAGTGATTACAGGATCATTGCACTTATTAAAACCTGCAGTACCATTATAACATCCGTTGAGAATCGAAATATTAGCATCAGATAATATTGTAATATCAGGCATTACACGACCAAAGGGCATTGATTCCATTTCCCAAGTAGGATTATTAGATAAAGGAGCAATACGTCCACAAGAAAAATCACCTTTAACGTCGTCGAGATCAGTAGAATTATTATTATTATTACCACCACCACAAACAAGAATTTCAGGTTGATAATTGTTGCTAAAATCTAATGGTAAAAGTGTACAACCACCAGTCAATGGATAATTTCTTGAAGGACCAGGAATGTCCGGTAAAGTAGATTTAATTTTCCAGGTAGTTGTATCCAAAATAATCGATTTTTTATTCGCCAAAATGAAAAGGGAACCATCAGGTAAAAGATGGACACAAGGGTACAAATTGTAAGGTAAAGTTTCATTTAAAAATGGGAATGGAACAGTTGTTGTACCAGTAATAGAAGGAAAAGTTTCAAAACTAGCTACATTTATTTTCTCACTATTAACATAAGTACCTTTAACTGAACCACCAATGATAAATAAAGTACCATCGGACAACTGTTCGACAGTTGGATACCATCTCTTTGCTAGAAGAGTACCAACATTTTTCCAATCACAAGTTCCATTATTACAAGAATTAAACATTCTTATTTGATTAAATCCTTGAGTAATGCCTTCTGTAGCATCAGCACCGGCTAAATTTATGACAGCCTAAAAGAAAGAAAAAACATCAATTAAATATTAAGTAAAATAAAAATAAAAAATAAAATAAAATAAAAACCTACACCATTTGACAAATAAGAACCAGCAGAACAAAAAGTATTAGATAAAGTAGTTAAAGGTCTTATTTCATTTGTATCAAGATCATATTCTACAGAATAAGTAAGCTTTCCACTTATATTGACTCTTGTAGATAATTCTACTCTATCAATGAATAATATTTTCTTGGTCATAGGAGAAAGAGCGGCGTGCATACTAGATACACCAGAATCACCTACAAAATCCCATTGACCATATTTTGCAATTTGACAATTTACATAACTTATAGGTATTAAAATAAAAGTAGTCACAAAAGTATATACGTAAAAACGAATTTTCATACTGATACTTAGAAAATGGAAGAAAAAGATGTAAATTTTTTTGAAAAATTGTATAAAAGAAATATTAAAAATTCGAAAGGTTATTTAA